TACACCCTGAATTAGCAGGATGTTTGTTCTAACATAATAATGGTAAATGCTAAACCTATAAGTAAAGAGCAAAGATGAAACTTACATAAGCTTGCTTGAGGTTCTTAGACCTCTTAAAAACAGTGTTGAGTGCTAGAGAGTTAAAACTCTTTACTACTATCCTATCAAGATTCCTATATATTTTGAACTCTTAATTTAATTGGTTGTTGTGATATTATTTCATGTCCTCAGTAAAATTTACATTTGTTGACTTGGGATCATAGAATTAATACTTTAAAAAAATTTTTTTACTGAGTGAGTCAAATACTTGCCAGAGGGCTGCAACTAGCTGTATTTAGTGCCCTGTGGAATGGCCAAAGTGACCCCAATGTGCTGCCAAGTACCATGTGCTGAGAGCTTAGAGAGTCCCTGAGAGTGATGCCAATCGTCATCAAAAAGCATTTTTTAAGCACCTATCTGTACATGGTTCTGTCCTAGGCATTGTACAAAACGAGTTAAACAGACAAGGTCCCTGCCCCCTGGGAGTTTTCAATCTAAGATGATGCTGACATGGCCAGACATAAAGGATATTGAGACAACTGAACAAACATTGAACAAGAACATAAAGTACTAACATTATGCACAAGCAAAGGGGTAAGTGCATTTTGTGGGATAGTATGTAAAGGAAGCCTCTTGGAACATGAATAGGATGGGATAGAGCAGTTATGCCAGGTTAGGTTCATTTTCATTGGATAGTTGGGTTTGCATACAGACTTAATTGAAATAGAGACAGTACATTCCAGAAACAGGGCAACAAAAAGAAGAGTCGGAGCAAGAAGAGAAGTTTAAAAGTGTATTGTTGGACTCTTGGTGGCCTCCAAAACTTGCAGTTCTGGATGGTTCTTAATCTGAAAGCGGAATTGATGTTTTTGACTTAAATTGGCATTTGAGTTGGGTCTAGGGCAAAATAGTTTAGTGCAAAGAAAAAAGCCCCATACCATGGAAACTTGAATAGCTTCTGCAAGCAATCAATTTGCTTGTTAATTGTCTTTTCTAAACCATTGGCCACTTAACAGAAACCTTGTAGTTCATGGGAGCTATAATCTTCTTAGGTTATCTTAAGATACCTAAAAATGCTCATTAAATTATGTTCTATGTTATAAACTATAGCACTCGTAACATGGAAATTATTTTTCAAGAATTGGTCTGTATTTTTGAGGATGCCTTTCTATCTCTGAGAAAGGCCCTAGGAATTCCAGGTAGTATAAGCACTGCCCGCAGATGTTGAGTGCTAAGTATCACCTGCCTTTCATTTTATTAATTTCTTATCTTCCAAGATAATGCCTTAAACACCATCTTTACATATAGACTTGAATTTAAATCACAGCTACAGCAAATCTACATTTTCAGTGTCTTCCCAATACAACTCATTACTTCTTTTTCAGTAGACATGGACTTAGGTGTTTTCCCAGTAGTTCCCAGCTCACTATTTGATTTCATTTGAATGTGAAATGTGAAGACTTAAATTTACCCAAAATATTAGGGTGTAGGTGTTTGTTTGTTTTTTTTTCTTCACAAAAGCTTTTTTATTGTACAAAAGAATTCACAACAGATTTCCTTTAAATTGCCATTCGCTGTTTAAATACAATGCTATGAAAAACATAACTGGCAAATCCCACTAAGGCATTAAAGTTTTAATAATGCCTATTTGAAATATTGAGTCCTTTTTATGCCCTGACGTATTTAACTTGCAAGGTGCATTTACACACACTTCTTTCTTCCCGTTAGAATTGAGGGCTCAAGTCTTGCCTCACCTCACTTCCTATAATTCTTTGTGCTATAATCTAACGAAGAATCTAGTGGCTATTACTATTTTCTTTTTGTGACACAAGTCATGGGATACAGGCACACGATAAGCTTTCTGGCAGCAGGGGTATGATTCAGGGAGTCATCCAGGGGACTTCAGTGATTGTTCTTACTCACCAAATAGCTGGTCTGGATCATCTTTAGTTCTCAGAAATTCCCTCCTCTGGGTGGCAGCTTTATTATTCTAATCGTATAGAAAGAATACCACTAGATATTTAATCTTTTAATTATGAAACTAATCTTGGACTAGTCTATCTGGAAAATCCTTGAGAGGTTTAAAACAAATAAACTTAAAAGCCTAGACAGAATTTTTTCAGAAACACTAGAATTAGGGACCACAGTTCAGCCAGTGTTGTGATTTAATCCAGCACATCTTTTCTATATGACCCAAAGGGTGAGCAGAAAATATCCAAAATGAAGAGTGAGGATTTTGTTTTGTTTGTACAAAAAAAAATTCATGCCCAATGAGTTAGGAAGAAAATTGAAAATTGAGCTAATTTTGTTAGAACCTTCTGAGATCTTTAAAGGAAAGCTGGGATAGTTCACACATCTCTAGATTATCCATGTTCATGATAGAGAAAATTGGAGTGATGGATTACTTTCAGGAATTATATTTTCATCCAAATTAATTTATATCAGTTAATTTTTTAGGAGTTAACTTGATTTACTCCATCAGTAAATCGCTCTTAAGTACCATGTTGAAGAGAGGAGGGGAAGAAGGTACATTGGAAGCATGTAAAATACCTCTTTCCATGTAAATTCTGATTCTGACAGGGTAAGCAATAGTCTTGTAACTTGGGCCTAGTACAGAATAATGAAAAAGCAAAACCTAAAGGTTTCCTTTTTTGGAGCTTTTGTTCTAGTTCAGGACTCGGCAAACTTTTTTCTGTTTAAAAAAAAAAAGTATTTTAGGCTTTGCGTATAGCCATGCTCCAATAAAACTTAATTTACAAAACCAGGCAGTTGGCTGGATTTGGCCAATGGGCCATAGTTTCCAACCCCTGTTCTAGTATGTGGAAAGAGAATTAGTAAGTAAATTAGAGTATGTTAGCTGCTAAGTGCTTTGGGAAAAAGAAAACTAGAGCGGAGTAATCAAATAGTATAATGAGGTGTAATTGGGCAAAGTGGGCTCTCTGAGATCAAGAAGAGGAACCAGCAAAGGCGACTGAAAAGTTAGTGGCTAGTGAGGTGGAAAGAAAATGAAGAGACAGGGATATCCTTTCAATGCAGTGAAGAACCATGTAGTAGGAAGAAGGGAAATCTGTGTCGATAGTGCCGATAGGCTAAATGAGAGGAAAGCTGGGATTAGATTTAGCAATGCATAGGTTAGTGACCTTAATGAGCAGTTTTGTGGAGTAGGTTCAGGAGAGAACTGAATGAGAGCAAAAGTAAAAACAGGTAAGTCTTTTGAAGAATTTTGTTGTAAAGGGAACAAAGAAATGGAGCAGTTGGGGGGAAAGGATCAAGTGAAGAGTTTCTTTAAGATAGAAGAAATAATGACGTTTGTTTAGAAATCATCTAAAGAAGAGAATTGCTGGAGCTGTGAGTTTGAGTGGCAAGGAGATCGGTTCTGGTAGATGAATGCATGTGCTATAGAGTCTGGTTGTTCTCATGTGGCTTCAGTTTCTGATTAAAGAATTATCAGTAGAGAATATGAAAGTTCAAGTGTTGTCTTTAAATGTTAATACCAACATTTGAAGGATCTTTGGTGACTCACTGTAATGACTTATTGTGCCTTCTGAGGAGGTTATAAACTTAACCCAGCAAATGTGTGTATTTTGAATTTTGAGGATTAAACCCTACTTTATGAGATTAAACAATGATGAGTGTAATGCCTGTGGCACAGTGCCTAGTATCATATAGATATTTAAAAAGTGCTGTTGTTAGAGTATGTATGTAGAATCAGTATATCCTGAGCTAGGCTTACTCTATTTGGTCTCGAAAGATGCTTTCTCATAGTTTTAAATGTTATGTAAGTTGAAACTTGACACTAGTAAATATTGTTAAAGTGAATACGCTAAATTTAAATTATAGGTTGTTTGATGTCTCTCCAAATGTTCTTTCCACTTCACAACGTGGTCTCTCTTTCATACAGAAACTAGTGACATTACTGGCTCCAATGACCAGGGGAAATACTGATCAGAAGTTCTGTAGTTGAATGTTTATTCATTCTTACATGTTTATTTTATCATCATATTGCTGTTAATTTCTTTATACAATGAAAACAAATTGTTTTTGTGTATAGCATCCTCCTGTAGATTGTAAGCCCCCAGAAGGTAGGTAAAAAACACTAATACATTTCTAAGGAAGTATCTCAAATAATAGGATGTATGTAGCCAGTATTCAACTAATATTGTTATTATTAAACCAAGGATTCATAATCTTTTGATTAAACCTAGATATTCAATTCTTTAGGCCCTTTTACTGTTCTGGAAAATTCTGGAGCTAAATTATATTACTGGGCTAAATGGCTGTTAACAGAATACTTCCAAATGTAGCTATTCCAAATAAATTCCAGAGGGAGGCAATAGCGAAATTTCACAGTTAAGTACATAATAATAGAAACATAATTGGCACACACAGCTGTTGGAATGCCATAAAAACTGGTATTATGATAATTAAAAGAAGCTTGTTGGAGAATAATACTCAACTAATTATGGCATATTGAAAATCAAAATAAGATAGATTGACTTTGTGTAACTGTAAGAAAATAGGCTTGGTTACTTTCACACACTGTTCCAAGGAAGTAATGAGTGATGTCAAAGAAGTGATATTCTTACCAAGTACTAGAGAATTTAATTATGACTAGGAAAAAGGCCATTTCATTCTGTAGTTGCCAATGTGATTAAGAGAAGTGAGAGAACTATTTTTTTTATAAGAAGCAACTGTGTTTGAGGTTTTAATCTTAGGTTTTCTGATACAGAAAAATTTTTAAAGAAGCTATTTTTTTTTAATTTAGGAAGTAAAACTTAGCTATTCATTACAAATGCCTGAGAAATTTTAAACCTCTTCAAATCTAGGGTTCCATCACATTTATAACTATTTCTAAACATCAGAACAACCAACCTCATTAAAATATTTGAGATCTTTGGAAAATATTAAGTCATTTTTAAAAAGTTGTCTTGTGTTGAAACTTTATTTTCTTTGTCTCATAGGTCCAGTTGTATATGTCTTGGATCTTGCAGATAGACTGATCTCAAAAGCCTGTCCATTTGCTGCAGCGGGAATAATGGTTGGCTCTATCTATTGGACAGCTGTGACTTACGGAGCAGTGACAGTGATGCAGGTTCACTATTTAAGTCTATTCAGTTATATTACTTTTGATGTGAAGATCTGTGAAATAGACCTTGTTAGGAGTTTTAAAATTCATTGTGGACAATAGCATTTTCATGACCTAAAAATATGTAAAAAGCTACTTAGTGAAAAGTCTTCTTAGTCCTGTCATTATTTGCCCAAGTTCTCCTTACCTCCCCAGGTAGCCACTATTAATTTCATATATATTCTTCCAAACTTTCTTTGTGCATATGCAAGAAAAATTTAATATTGAGTTGCCCCAAAAGTCCATTTTTTTTTTTATACAGTGGCTCTAGTAGCACTTAGTTGTCTTTAACTTCACTCAGAACAATTTTAGTAGATTGTATTGTGGCAGCTGTCATCAGTGTGTGTTTTTAATCTTAACCAAAATTGGTAAATTTATGTGCAGCCATTTTGTATTGAAGATGGAAGAAAATACGCGTTTTCAGCATACTGTGCTTTGTTATTTCAAGAAAGGTAAAAATGCAACTGAAATACAAGAAAATATTTGTACAGTGTATGGAGAAGGTGCTATGACTATGACTGATGGATATGTCAAAAGTGGTTTGTGGCGTTTCTTGGTACTATTGGCGTTTTGGCCAAATAATTCTTTCCTGTGGGGCGGTCTTATGCATTGGAAGATGTTTAGCAGCACCCCTGGCCTCTACCCACTAGTGTAGGAGGTAGCCAACATATTCAAAATATCCAAACCAGTAATGTTATTGGTGAAAATGAAAAATGTGTCTTTTTTATGGAAAAAACGTAATGGACTTTTTGGCCAACTCAGTGTGTTCTCACACACACACACACACACACACACACACACACACACACACACACTTTTTTTTTTAACCCAAAAGCAGTATTTTGGAGCTTCATCCCTCTTTTTTCACAGTAAATTTTGGAGATCTTTTCATGTAAGTGTGCAGAAATTTGTATACTAGTCTATGTATAGAATTGCTATAATTTATAACCAGTCTCTTGCTGATTAGAAAATGTGTTGCTTCCAGTATTTTGCTATTGCAGAACAATGCTATAATCAGTAACTGCTGATGAAGACTAGAGAGACTTAAATTTTAAGATTTAGTCCCAGGCCCTCAACTCTTCTTTCTGTATATACCTCTTCCTTGAAGATTTGTATTTATCATTGCTGTGCTTTTTGTGTTGCAATCTGTCTTTTCACCTAATCTTTCCTCAATCCAGTTTTACAATAGCAGCTTGACCCTTCTTAAATGACCTCTTGTGACTTCATACTCAGTATTATTAAAATCAAACATGTCTTTCTCAATTTGCAACCTAAATTTATTCCCCATTATAATTTATCTGTACTTTTAATTCCTATTATTTTTTCATCTACTCAATTTATAGTCTCTAGTCTAAGAATGTAGACTACTCATTTATAGTCTACATCCTTAGAATTACCTTTTTGACTTTTTACTACATAGCCCTATATGCAGTCCACTGACCAAGTGCAAGCAGTTTTCATTTTGATGTGTCTTACATATATGGCTTCCTTTCCACAGTCTTCACCTCATGATTTCTTGGCACTCCCCCATTGTAACCTGGATGGCTAAGGAGCCTCTTGATTGGTTCCTCTGACTTCATTCTCTTCTATCTGTCCCTTCAAATGAATCTTCCTAAAATGATACCTTCGATTTTTTTTTGTTTGTTTGTTTTTAGTCCTCACTACAGGACATTTTCTCATTGCTTTAGAGAGAGAGGAAAGGAGAGAGAAACGTCAGTGTGGGAGAAACACCTGTTGGTTACCTTTTCGTATTTGCCCCAATCAAGGATCCAACCTGTAGCCTGAGTATGTGCACTGATCAGAAATCAAACCCACAACCTTTCGGTTCTGGGATAATGACACTGCAGCCAACTGAGCCACACCAGCCAGGGCTTCAACATTTTATTTCAAGCTTACCATCTCCTCTGCCTGAAGTAGTGCTTCTCAAAAGCAGCACCTAGATTGGTTAAGTGTTTCATAAGTAACTCAATAAATACACTTAGGTTTATAGATGCTATAACTTGCTTCTCTTTAATATAAATTAATGTATAGAAGAAAAAGTGAGTTGAAGCAGGTCCTCAAGTAATGTTTCTTCCAGCATCATTTTATGTTGATGAGATACTGTGGGAACTTAACACTTATTTATATCAATTAGCTTATGGTAAAATTAGTTTTGTTTTTTATCATTTCACTAATAGAACCTGTCAATACCATGAAAGTGAGGACTTACTGTATATTTAATATTCCAAATATTGCACATAACCTATCTATGCCAGGTCCATGGTAAGCAGTCCTTCTGGTTGCTCCAATAATAGTCATGGTAAGACAGTTTTGCAAGGCTTTTCATAAAATGTTGCTGACACCCCAAAAATGTGGGTATAGGGGTATAGTTACTGGAATGAATAGTAAATTACCATTTGTCATGAGTGTAGTGGATAAAGATTGAGAACCACTAGCTTAAAAAAGATTTCATTTCCTTAACCCGATTTGCTATGCAGGCTCCTCAACAGTCTTACTTCATTCTGCTTTGACTGCCTGTGGGGCTGTCTCCTGCAGCCCATCCTTACGTTGTTTAGTGTTCTTTACCTCTGTTCTTTGGGTTATGTCATCTCCCTGCCTAATACCTGTGCTTGCAGTTCCCTCTCTACTAATCCAAATTCAAACCCTCCTTTCAGGAGGGTTTTCTTCCTTGAAACTAACCAGGCAGCTCCTGCCCACTGTGGTTTCTTTTTCCTCTGCATTAGTGACATTTTTTTATTCCTCAAATGGCAGCTACTTTTGTGCCAGCCAAGTGATATTTCTTATATAGATTATCTAAATTATTTAACTTTTTCTGCATTCAAGTCTTACTTTTTCTACTAGAAGGTAATTTGCTTGAGAGTAGAAACTATCTTATTTATACTTACACATTCTTGTATAGCATATACATAGAGACTAACACTTTGATTTTTTTTACATGATCTGTTCCATCAGGTGAACTGGTTCAGTTGATTATATTCTCTGTAATAATTCATTTTACTCCAGTTATAAGTATCAGTACATGATTAGATCAAAGAAGTTCAGGATGATTTACTACGATTGACAAAGACATGAAAACTTAGAGCACATTATACACTATTTAATATACAAATACATACAGGTATATATTTGTTACAGATGAGGAAACTAAAGTCCTCTGAGACTGATTTCTCTTAAGACCTAATTGACTATAGGAAATGGGATTGCTCTTCCTGAAAAGACTTTAGAGTAAATCAATCTTAAAAGTTTTTTTGTAATTAATAGAACACTTCAACAAACACAGGATCCAATTAGGAATATAGTTTGTATTCTCTAAAAATGGCTACCAGTTGTATCCTGGCATTTCAAACAATATTGGTATGATTCAGTCAAAAAGTTAACACTGAGCTGAGGTCTGTATAAAATATAAAACAAATTGAAAACTCTCATCCCCAGCCTCAAGGAACGTAGCCTAAGGCAAGGTTTACATAAATGAACTGGAGAATAGTTATAAGGTTATATAAGCAAATGTGAAGAGAGTGTAGAAGACTCCATAAGCAGTATTAAATCAGTAAAAGTGAAAAATCATTTGAAGTTATGAAAAAGCTAAGTCTTGTGCTGACCCTTGAAGGAAATCATTTGGTTGGTAGAAGAAATTATACAAGCAAGGAGACAAAAATGAACATAATGATTAACGGTGACAGTAAAGAAAAAACTAAAATTATGATAATACATATTTATTAGGTGTTACCATTTAGAAATAACCTTTACATGTATTGTCTCACAAGAAAAGATTTTTATTTTTTAGCTCAGAAATGAGAGAGATTAGCTGTGAACAATGGGTAGTACTCAGTGTGGTTTGAGAGGATTAGGAAGACTTTTCCTTACCTGAGATGTTGTTAGGGAATGTGCCCCACTATACAATCAGAAGTGTTTAGAACTTTCTTTTTAACACTTTACTGTTTTTTTTCTTTTGTTCTCTAGCTGCTATAAAGTAAATCAGATTAAGGAATCAGACAACTATTCTTTCCCCATTTATTCCTTTTTTCTTTTTTTATGAACCAGTCTTAGATTCAATCTCTGTTAATTGTGAGGAACTTAAATAGGAACTTTTAGTTACATTTTTTATTGAACAGACAAGACAATAATTCACTTTTTTCCACGGTACTAGGCTGAAGACCCTTCAAACACTGATGCATTTAATCCTTGCAACAATCTTGTGGTGTAGATACTATCAATTATTCCTAGTTTACAGGTTTAAAGAGTTTGCATGTCTAGAACCATACAGTGAGGAAGAGGCGCCAAGACTCCTATCCCTAATCTTGGGCTCCTTAGCTCTGAGCTCCTTCCAGAGGCAGCTGGAACATTTTATCCTGGAACAATGGAACCTTAATATCTAACATAGTTCCACCTAGTATAAAGACAATCCCCATAAGCACTGTCCATTCTTAATTACACTACAGTTAATTATCCTAAATTCCAACTAAGAAAACCTATTAGTTCATCACTGTTCCATCCCCCCATTTAAAGGTAGAGTTCTTAAAAAAATAAATAAAGGTAGAGTTCTAACAGGCAGTGCTTTAAAAGATCAGGCCTTAATTAAAACTCTTAGCCTTTTAGCATTGGTGAATTGTAGGCTTAGCTGGATATGAAGGTCTAGCTTTTAGCTCTAAAGCAAAAAAAAACAAAACTTTTATTTAAATATATAAATCTGTAGGCTTTTATTTTATACATGGATAATAAACTCATGGAAAAGTTCCTGCTCTGGCTGGTGCAGCTCAGTGAATTGAGTGCTGGCCTGCAAACCAAGGGGTCATCAGTTCGATTTCCAGTCAGGGCACATGCCCAGGTTGTGGGCCAGGCCCGGAACATGAGAGACAGCCACACAGTAATGTTTCTCTCCTTCTCTTCCTCCCTTCCCCTCTGTCTAAAAATAAATAAATAAAATCTTTTTTAAAAATTTCCTGAGGAATTTCTTAGTTCCTGAATCTTACTCTAAAATTGAAGTCTTAAAAATAATGTTTTTATTTTTATTTTTCAATTAACAGTTTACACTTGGTGTTATTTTTATTAGTGATTCAACTTAGTAATTACACAATCATATACTTTACAAAGCGTTCCCCAATATTTCCAGTACCCACCTGGCACTATTCCTAACTACGTATAACAGTATTACTGACTAAATGCCCTGTGTTGTACGTCCCTGTGACTGATCTGTAACTACCAGTTTGTACTTCTTAATTGTTATACCTTTTTTACTCAGTCCTTCCCTGTGGCAGTCATCAGTTGTTTTACATCTATGAATCTGTTTCAAAAAAAAATCTGTTTTCAAATCTTACAGCATAAAACCAGAATATACATGATCATACACAAAGTTTGCTGTTTTTGTATTGACCAAAGTTAAATGAGCTTCATTGCTTAATTTACCTTTCATTTATTGCCCGTAATTCTGATAGTAGTGGTAGTATACTACAGGTTATACTATTCTGTTTTCTTTGCAGCATTTGTATTTGCCCACTTGTCTGATTTGACTGTCTCTCACCTTCAGAACACATCTTGTTAGCTCACCGTTTAATCCCCAGCACTAAGGCCTGTGTCTGGCACATAATCAGAGTTCAATTGAATGAAGGATGTATACAAGTGAGCGTGCCTGGTGAGCCTGAGCACAAAGCTGCTCTCTCCACTTTGGCTGTAACAAATGAGATGATGGGCCTTTGCTCACAGTTTGCCCTGTTTTCTTTTTTGTTTCCTCATCCTTAGGCACATGGTTGTGAGGTTTTAACTGCTGTCCATGAGAAATAAACTTCCCCTTACTATATAGTCCATACCTGAATATTCACTCTGCTTTCTATTTCTAAGCCCTAAATTCTAAACAGAATAACCCAGCAAAGGAATTTTCAAATTTGCTAACATTTTGAGAGGTAATAAAGTGATATAAAAATGGGATATCTTGGAATAGATAAAGGCAGTCTACTTTTGCCACCAGTGTGGGATTAGCGTTTGAAATATTGTGAGCCAAACCATTTCACTTAAGGGCAACTCAAAATGATCACCCTTCACATGGCAATGAGTGAAGTTAATTTCTACCTGAAGACACTGAAGAGTACCAGATAATGATGCCATGGTTTATGGCTATTTGGAAGAGGCTGGCCTCCTGCCCTTTAATGTTATATCTTGGGTAGATAAGGTAGCCAAGTGCAAGTTTGAACTATATCCCTGACTGAGATTTTAAGAGCATCCATTTTGGTCCTCTCCACATACTTTTAAAAGACATTTCTACCTGTATTAAGTTTGTTTTCCAGAATTTCAATTTGCCCCAGTTATTCTCAGCTTGACCTTATTTCATACCTCCTTATAGTCCATCCACTTAAAAAATTATGTTGCAGTAGCTGACATAAAGAGCATCTTGGCTTTGAAAAATATCTCATAAGCTTGTTTTATGCTTATTATATTATCACTTGCAGTGTATATTATCCCTTGCAGCCTATAGTCTTCCCTACCTTCTTTCTTTGCCCTCCTTGCCTGCCCTTCCTTTTCTTGCCCCCACTCCAATCAAAAATATAGACAAGACCTTTCTAATCTTTTTTTCCTGGCATAGTCCTCAATGGTGATCAGTTAAGCCCTTTATAGTAGAGTTCCCCTTCTCAAGCTATTGCCTCACTGTGTGATAATACCTGAGTGGGCTAAAAGCTCAAGACTCTCAAGTAGTTTCCTTCCCCTATCTTAACTGCCAAGAATAATCCCTTAGAGAAGAATGTTTAATTTGTGAGTAATTGAAACTTTGGCTAAAGAGAGATCATTTGAGACCTATGAAAGAATTTTCTTGGAAATTGTCTGGTTAAAAATAAGCTCACCAACAAAATGATGCTGTTGAGAGAAGTATAAAGCTAAGTAATATTCATCAGCAAGTGAAAAGTACGGAAATTTGCAAATACAAATTAATCATGCACTTCTTGCCTTCTGGGATCTAAACCAATTGAGAGATAGCCTGAAGACCCAGATGAGAGGGGAAGGATTGTTTTAACTTCATTACCCTATAGACAGGGCACTGGGGGATTCCTGCACTGGAAAAAATGACTAGAACCTGCAGCCAAAACTCCATACAGCAGTCCCCCAGTCTAGGTCTTGGAATTGTGTTTTGGGAGAGTTAGGTGTGTAGAGCAGGCATTTTGCCAACCAGAGAGCTATCACTCTGTCCCAGACACGACTGAATGAGGAGAAAGAGCCAGAGAAGTGAGTTTTCAGACTATCTCCTGAAGGCAGGTCCTGCCCCTTAGCTGGCTATGCTTACCTCGTAGTAGGAAGAACTGGAAAACAGATGCTCTGCTAGAAGACAAATAGGACCTAAAGTAGCCCAGGGAAACCAAATCAATTTAGAGGAATGGAAGCAAGAACCAGAAGTCCCCTCCCTTCTATTCAAATGTAATTACCTAGATAGGCATGGCTTTGTTGGTTGAGCATCATCCTGGAAAGCAAAAGGTCTCCAGTTCAATTCCCAGTCAGGGTACCTGCCTGGGTTGCAGGCCTGGGCCCTGGTTGGGGTGCATGCAAGAGGCAACCAATTGATGTTTCTCTCCCTTGCTTTTCTGTCTCCTTCCCCTCTATAAATGAATGAATGAATGAATGAGTATATATACACATACTGTATTTTTCAGACCATGAGACAGACACCTAGGTTTTAGAGGAGGAAAACGGGGGGGGGGGGGGGGGGGGATTAAAAGCAAAAAATGTGGCAAAATATTTAATAACATAATATTTCACCAATGTAAATGTAAAGCTACATTCAGACTATAAGACGCACCCCCCATTTCCTTCCCAAATCGGGAGGGGTGCATCTTATAGTCTGAAAAATACAGTAATCAGTGTAAGTCAACCATTTTTAAAGCTTTTGTTCCAATGTAATATGAACTTGGTATTTCCCCCCCTTCACTGAGAAATACTTCTTATAAATAAATCTGGACTGATAGCTTTCAGCTTACTTTTTTAACTTTATTTCTGTATTCTTTTGAGATTTAGCATTTCCTTTAAAATGAATAGAGCTCAAACATGCAACATCCTTTATTAGATAAGGAAATAATTCTAGCAAATGGTATCTGTTTCATAGGTTGTAGGCCATAAAGAAGGTTTGGATGTTATGGAGAGAGCTGATCCTTTATTCCTTTTAATTGGACTTCCTACTATTCCCGTCATGCTGATACTAGGCAAGATGATTCGCTGGGAGGACTACGTGCTTAGACTATGGCGCAAATACTCAAATAAACTACAAATTTTGAACAGTATATTTCCAGGTAAGGCCCTGAATTGGGGTTGTAACAAGCATGCCAAATTAATCTTGTAGAAGAATCCTTACATACATACTTTACCTGTGCTAATTTATTAGCACTAATGCCCTGGTTTTTCTTTCTCTCTCTAGGGATTGGTTGTCCTGTTCCTCGAATTCCTGCTGAGGCTAATCCTTTAGCAGATCACGTCTCTGCCACCCGAATTTTGTGTGGAGCCCTTGTCTTTCCTACTATTGCGACAATAGTTGGTAAACTGATGTTTAGTAGTGTTAACTCTAATTTACAAAGAACAATCTTGGTAAGATGGCTTTAATATCATTCAAGAGACTATACAAAAGAGAATGAAATATATATGTCTTTTTAAAAAACACAAAGGAATATATCATTATTCTTTGGCTTCCATGTCTTAAGCCTGTATTTTATCCTCACTGTCATCCAATAGCAGGGAAAAAGGAATGATCCCGTGCAGTAGTTCTGCCTTCCAGAACTATGCTGTAGGCGATTTCTGTCCTGGAATATGCATAAATCCTCACATCCATCCCTTTTTTAAAAATATTATATTTATTTTATTTTTAGACAGAGGGGGAGGAAGGGATAAAGAGAGGGAGAGAAACATCAATGTGTGGCTGCCTCCCACATATCCCCCGCTGGGACCTGACCTGCAGCCTAGGCATGTGCCCTGACTGGGAATTGAACCAGTGACTGTTTGGTTTGCAGTCCAGTGCTCAATCCACTGAGCTGCCCCAGTTACATCCATCCTTTTTCCATCAAGATTATGTGAAGAGCTTCTGCTCTAGGGTCCAACTTCCTGGTTCATTGCCTTGCTGAGAAATTTAAATAAAATTTTTCTTCTCAGTGCCCATAGAATGAAGATAGTAATGGTAGCCACCTCTGTAAACTTATTTTTATTATATTTCTCTATATCTGCATTTAAAAAAGCTAATTTTCCTTTTAATTTTAGGGTGGAATTGCCTTTGTTGCCATAAAAGGAGCATTCAAGGTTTACTTCAAACAGCAGCAATATTTACGTCAGGCACACCGCAAAATTCTAAATTATCCAGAGCAAGAAGAAGCATAAAACTGTGACGTGTAGTTGTTCTGCAGTCCTTTCATCCTTATGAGTCTGTTGTGTTGTTTTGATTCCATCATTAATGCACAGTAGTGGAGACTTGTGATAAGCTGCTGCTATCATATTTTTAAGAAATATAATAAAGAAAGCACTTAGGGCCAAGGAAGTCCTCTCAGTAATCACGGAACCTAAGGATGTGATTCGATCTCATTACTCTGTATGTACTACTTTTATGGCAGTCATCTGAACCATTATCTTAGCATGGTAAATCTGGGCTTTGTTCATATTTTCTTCAGACAGAAATGTAAAAATCAATCTGTGCAAATATTGAAAAATGCACATGCCTTTTTTTACATGTTCATGTTCAGTGTTTTCTTAGAATCAGCAATTCAATGAAGGTACTATGAGGATTTTTCTCACTGGCATAATTGGATTACATGTTATGAAAGAGTACATGTAATATGAGGAAATGTAAATTAAATTAGTTATAAATAGCAAACCAAAAATGTATGTAAACATTCAAATGATAATCTGAACAAATGCAATTCTGTTGTTTTTCTTAACCCATGTGATAGCCTCCAAAATGTATAGGGTAAGAATTCACAGGGCTTCCAGATCACTTTTTCACTATTAAAATTTATTTATATAATGTTGACATCTCATAGTTCCTAATGTAATTTTGACTCGTGCAGTCTTAATTACTGTGTGTGTGTGTGTGTGTGTGTGTGTGTGAGAGAGAGAGAGAGAGAGATGGAGAGACATCAGGTCCTTTCATCGCTGGAGTAAAATTTTAAATCCGTATTTCTAGAAATTAGAGCTGCCAGATTATAGTAGTTTGAGCACAGAGAATGGTTTGCAAAAAAAATAAAGTTATTTTACTCTTCTCTTTCATTGATTCAGTTATTCAGGTATTTGCTGATCACCTGTTGGCCCAGGCACTGTGCGGAGTGCTGTGGGGTAGTGCAATGGTGAGCAAGACAAACTTGGTTGCTGGGTTTTTATGTAGCTTACAGTCTAGTTTCACCAGAGAGAAAACCAACAGTGGTGAACCAAGGTGAGGCCTTGAGCTCTTTGTTTTTATACCAATCAGTGAGGAGATAATTATGAAAATAAGTCTTGAGTAAATACTGAGGTCATTGTTTTTGGCTTAATTCAATTTATTATTAAAAACCCCAGTACTAATATTTTTAGATTTTAATTGCTTGTCATATTGATGAGGGTAGTATCTTAATCACTGTTTAGTTTTATATTCATTTTTCAAAAGCAATTTGTGTATTCTAAGCCATTTTCAATAGTAAGCCTTTTAATGTTGCTCAGCAATGAGTGGTCTTGCAGTTATTTTCATTAATTAAAATTAAATTTTTAAGAGTTCCAAAAATCTTATTTTCTTGTTTACAGCATCTTAATGCATGACAGTAATAAATATTTTCCCTTACTGATAAGTGGCCACTTCTCTTTAGGAGTATAGCAAACATAGATTGAGCTGTTAGATTGCAATAATGTATGTTAGCTTTAGTGATTTAAGACTGGTATCTCTTTATAGCTTGAATGTGTTAATTTTGAGTTATAACATGATGTGAATGGCTGTTGAACATTCAAAGTTGTAATTATTTGGGGAGGAAGGAAATATTTGACTGACAGTGGGCCTTATTAAGAACATTGCTACAGTGCTGAAGGGGAAATAAAAGTCTATAATTATATTTAAAAATAACTTAGATTATATAGCTGTAATTATAAAATATATTGGCTTTCATTTTTAAGATGAAAAGACACTAGATATTTTTTGCATAATTTTGTTACATGGAACAGCTTTTAGGCAGCCTTTACCAAAGGTATATAAGCACACAGTTCCCCATTTACCACGTTAATGCCCAAGATGGGGGAGTATCTGCTTGGATTTATTGGCATCAGGGCTTGTGAAGGCTCCAGAAACAACTCTAATCCTTTGGGGTCAAGGGAGCGGGGTTTCTAGGGCTGTAGGGAGCAGATTGCAAGTGCCTGGGGACCAAGAGTGACCTCCAGCCTTGGAATTGAACACTTAAATCTAAAGAGCCTTGTTAGCTCGAGAAGTACCATGTCCCAGTCTCTTTAGAAAGGTGGTCTGCACCACCATGAAGCAACAGAAGGGTATGAGCTGGGTGGACCTGACTTCAAATGCTAACTCTGTTTTAATAACTTGACCTTGGCCAAGTGACTTAACTTCCTCTCTGCTACAGTTTTCTTCATCTCTGAAATGCAAATAATACTTAATCTCAAAATATTTCTGGGATTAACTGAGAAAGGAACAGAGGCACTTTGGGCTCCAAATAGTCCCTACAGAGCAGTTGTTGTTTCTTAGTTACTAAATAGCCTGTTCACAACTCTAGGAAAAGGGAATGAAAAGGTAAAATAAAGACATTAGGGGACAGATTAAAGGGTTGCTGTAGACTTTGGGGGTGAGTGGGTATATTTTGTGTTTTTCAGTTTATTTTCATATTGTGTTATTTCTATAAACTAATGTTTTAAACTTCTTTATTAAATTCAATGACAACTAGTAGAATTCCCTTTGCAGAAGTTAACTTATCTCCAAAGTGGCTGAAAATATTGTTCATCATTACATAAATATCAAATTAATATGAATATAAAAGTAAACTTAAGTGACTGACTTAGTCACTGCCTTGCTAACCATACTGTAATTTTTTTAAACGTCTTGTTTTTAATATAGCACATTATCTCAGTATTGGATGGATTAGGTTAAATAAAGAATTTTTATGTCCTCTAGGTGTACTTTGTCTGTTGAACAACTACCAAAACATAATTTATTAATTCTGTACCTTCATAATTCTTTTTGAATCATAGTTATGTAGATAGTAGTTCGCTTTTTTTAAGTAAAATATATTTTTTTTAATTCTAGAGGAATTTTTTTTTTAATTTTATAGTTAGGCTAGCTTAAATTTTAACTGTGTGGGTTTGGGGCGGGGTTGTTTGTTTGTTTTTTAATGTATCTGCTTTCACCTAGCCTCAGAGCCAATTAGACAAGCAACCAGACAAAATCTGATGGTCTCATGCTATGGAGTATCTTAAAAGTATATTCAAGTGAATTGGAAACACATTCCATTTTTGAAACAAAAAACTTGTTTCCTCTGAAATACTAAGAACTTAAGTTTTATTTTAGAAACTAAGACTCTTCTAGAATGAGGACATCAAATAAAGGCCATTCCATGGGGGGGGGGGTATTGTATCCAGGTCATTTCATCACCCTAATCTGAAAGACGGGCTATGAGCAGAAGAGGAACAGCATAGTTGGACAGTCCTGGGTACATATTCTAGCTAATACTTTAAATTAGTTGTAGACAAATCCTCAGTTTCCCCATCAAAATGAAAATTACAAAACCTACCTCCTGGATTACTGTGTGGTAGCATTTGAGGACAGTTTGATATGCAGAAGGTAAGTAAATCTGCCAGTTTAAGCAGAGGTTTGTTTGCCTATAATCTTTTGTTGGCCCCTTGGGGTCTCGAGGTTGTCTATTCTTTGCTACCTGCTACCACTGGAAATGGTGGGGTGAGGAATGGTCTTGTTAACTTCCTGGAAAAGTATCCTGAACAAGGGAAGAGAGGGTTTGCAGCTGAGTGGTGGTAGGAACCTAGGGCAAAGGACAGAGGCTAGCTAGGTTATCATTCTGGTCAACCCCATGTGGACCTCAGCATCTTACTGACAGTCACCTGTCACAGTTACTGTATGTCAACAATACATACTGTTTTCCAAATTTGAGCACCTGGGATAAAATGGGGAAATAAGCCTGCTTTGAAATGTCTTAACGTAAGTAGATCTTAGTCTCACAGTGGTATTACCACCACAAGAATGTGAGATCCATAAGGGTGGGGTTTTTTTTCCTTTTGTTTACTGTATTTCACAAATTAACCAAATTCATTGGCCATCTCAGAATAGTTTGAGCCGGTAGAAGATAGATGTGCCCTGCTTAAATAGGGACTGTCTCTAGTTTAAAATTAGCAGGGAACTATTATGGGAACTGAGAGGTAATATGTCTATGATCTTTTAATAGTACATTTATCAGTATTGAAATGTTTCTGTATCAGTTCAGATAGTTGTACACCAAAAATGAGAGGCAGAAGTGTATAATTTTTAAGTGTGAAAATCTTGATGCATTTTTGCTTAATGATCACATCAGTCAGGAGAAAGAAATCACATGAGTTGTTTGAACAGGGAAAGTAATGTAAGAAATAGTCAACTGACAGGAACTAAATACTAAAAGAAGCAAAAGAGATTTTTAAAGAAAAGTAGAGGCAATGAAGGCAGCTATTACCAGAGGGCTGAGAGAGAGTAAACAATAAAGTAACAAAGGACTAAGACATCTTTTGGTGGCGCTGAGAGTCAGGCCCCTTTAAAAATGGTGTGGCCTCCCCTGGTGCTGTTAGGAGTGACTGAGGGACTTGACTGAGGGCAGGCTGGGGCTGGTCTGCAGAAGCCAAGCTGATCAGGAGGGACACCTGAGGGCACAATTAGACATCGCACAGGCTGCTCGGTCCCCATGTGAAATGGTCACAGCAGAGACCGGAACCTGGAAGGGAGGAAGGTGCCTTCCTGACACAATAGCCTTGCAGTGTCACAAAGTTGGGCAGAGAAGAGTGGGTTTGGAGCTGACAGTAAGTTGTCACATGTAGCCGGTGCCCTTCTCTGTGACCCATCCTAGTCAATCTGGCACCCCCACTCCACCTCCAGCAAAAGGAAACAATCTTAACCTCTTTTCAGTTAATAACTTGGAAAGTATTTGACAGTCATTTAGCCCTGATATTTTTGATTCGCAAAAAGGGCCATGGTGATTTAATACAATGCATACAGGATGATAAATGGGTCATTTTTGTATATTCTGATTGGGCTGTAAATTGATATGGAGGGCAGTTAGACAATATCTATTAAAACTACTAATGCATGAACCCTTTGCGTCAGCAGTTCTAATGTCAGGAATTTACCTGACATATTTGCTCTAGAATTTTATAGCAACATGTCTATAAAATTATTTGTAGTGGTGTATGTAAAAAGAAATTGGAATTAACCTAAATGTCTGTCAGTAGGGAATTGGCTAAATAAATATGGTACATTCATAATGGGATAATATGCAGCTATAAACAATAAAAGCTGTTTACATACTGATATAAAAATATTTCCCCTGTATATTGTTAAAAGGAAGAAATGAAGATGTAGTCTATGTTACCACAAGTGGAAAATGGGAGTGGGAAGTTATCTAACTATTTGTTTATGCCTTTTAAAAATCTCTGGAAAGATACATGAGAAAACTGTAGTTACCTCTAGGATTTGGGAACTGGGAGGATGGAGCTTCAGTGGGAGGGAGACTCTTGACTGTTGCCTTTTATACTTTTTTCCTTCACTCTGTAGATACATTATTTTCAAAGTCATTAAAAATTAAAATTTTCCCACTGAGGTTAGAACTGAAAACCAAATAGGAATTTTTATTTTTTTAAGATGATAACATTGGAACTGTGTATGACAGTAATTTCTCCCTTCTAAAGACTGATGTGACTTTTTAAAAATAATTTTGCATCTCCCTCAAGCATATCTTCCAGCAGGTATTCAATAAATGCTTATTGAACTGAATTTGTTTTCCATAAAATTTAAGAACAATTTTGCAACTAGTCTT